CGCACAAATCGGCCAAATTTTTTTTTGTTTTGTTTTTTATGTTTTTAAATGGTTTAAATCTAAGGATTTGCACAGGTTTTTCAGATGGTTGGGTTTTGGGTGTTTGTGAATTTATAGCATTACCTGCAATTTATAAAATCTAAATGTTTACCTTCAACTGCTCTTTTCATTCTTTCAAATAAATAATATACAATTGCATACATTTTTTTTCTCAATAAGTTTGTAAAATGCGGAATAATAACTGCATGGAAATACATGGGAATACTAGGCTAGATGCTAATTAAGGCACGACAAGGATTTGCATACATTCAGAAAATTTGGCAAACAAAACAAACCGACAATCTCGCTAACTCTCTTCCAAGCCTCATTTTTCCTATTAAAGTCTCTGTATGATTCTAGAGAAGTATCATACAGAATGGGTTTTTCTGAGACCGCGAGGATAAACTTCTCTCCCATGTTGCTGTGTACGATCATAATGAAATTTCCGTGCGAGTGCCACTAGGGGGCGAATTCCGACAGTCGTGTCCGAATGTCTTGTGCAGTGGAAAGGCGGCTTTACTGATCACAGACGCTGAGCTGCGTGCGACTTGAATGCGAGCTGAGGTAAGATGTAAGCAGTAGTGATGTGACATTTGAACCGAGGCATCGGAGCTTGTGTCGAGAATAAATGGACATGCCAGATTAATCCGTGTAAGTTATCATTCGATCATTCGTTTTTTATTTAATATTGAAAGTAGAAAAATGAGAATTCAGCTTAAATTTTCGTTTTTCGTTCATGGGTGGAAAAATTAATGAACAGCTTGAATATTCGATTTCTACACGTGGGCGGGAATTAAACGCCTCTTTCTGCTGATTAGTCAGCCGAAGATCAAACCGTGCCATCATCAGTTCTTCTGCAGTATCATGCAGCAGATTCATTTAATAATTATTATTAATAATTTATTTAATGAATGTCAGTGTCACTTACCTGATAACTTGAAAATTCTAAAAATATTATTATGGTTAAAATATGTATATATTTAATGTGCCTACAAACAAACAATGGTCTTGATGGGGGAGGAGTCATTTAGGCTGTGTTCAGGGACAGTGCACATTAGCTATCATTCTAAGTTCATCATCAATGGAGCACAGCTTAACAAGTAAAAAGCATAAAACTTAAGACACATCTCTGAAAAGCTCAGAGGAGGGCAATAACACAAGTCAACAGTCTCTGCTGGAATCTGAAATTACAGATTGAAAGGAAGAACTGCTCTTTGTCATCCCCTGGGAAGAACAAATGGCAGTTGCTAGGTGTAATAAAAAAGGGTGGCACAGCCTTCAGCACCCTTACCAACAACTCATTTGACTCTCCTGATCTAAGTATTTCAGCCAACAGCACTACTCTCCTAAGGACCTATTCTGGCAATATCCTGGTACAGGTACGTTCTTTTAACCGCAAGTGGTACAAGGACTAAAACTGACTAGAACATTTTGTTTTGTGTGCAGACATCTTTCATGCCCATCCGGCACAGAAAGAGAGTGCCTGATGGGCATGAAAGATGTCTGAAATGGATGGCCCTTGAGTGAATAAAAGTAGTACAAGAAAATTGGAAATACATGCAAGCAGTTGCTGAATCGTCTGCCAGACAATTGCACAAAGAAGTCAAAGAAAAAAGGAGAATTCTGCCGACTAAGGCAACTTTATTGAGCTTTTGCTTCTTATTGGTAAATTTGTTGGGGGAAAAAAAATACTTGACAATCCCCAAAATGCAAAACACACACAACACAATATACTGAACAAGTTAATTGAATTAAATAGGCAAATATGGTGAGAGAGCAAATAAGTATTGGGCTGTTGATGAGATTGGACTGTTTGCTAGTCGATGAAAGCAAGCATGTCAGCAAAAAAGAGCAGGTGTCTGTGGTAACACGTTATTTGCACAGTGGCTTTGCATTAGAGGAACTCCTTAATTTTACTCCAGCCAGTTGATTAGATGCCAAATCGTGCTTGAAAATGATCAAACAGGCATTACGTAAATTCTGACCACTTGCATTGCGCAGTGCTATGATGGTGCAGCAGTTATGTCTGTCTGTCACAATGGTTTAGCAGAAAATTTCAGAAAAGATGTCCCACAAGCATTGTACATTAACTGCCATGCACACTGAATAAACCTTGTTTTGGTGGACTTTGTTAAAAACATACAGCCTGTGGATGAATTCTTTGAAGCTGTGCAGATGCTGTATCATTTTTTTTTCAAGCTCTGTTCCTCATGATCTCTTCTGGGAAAAAAAAAACAAGACAAAAAAAACAGCTGGATAGCGAGCCATTGCAAGCTCCACTTGAACTAAAAAAAAACTACCTGAAACAACTCTTATTGACATAATCAGTCAGTCAAAACAGTCAGTGTATTAAGAAAGGGGGTAGTCCTTTTGTATTCTAAATAAAGTATTTATTGTACAAAACATGATCAAACAAAAAACAAGGACAGAAATGATGGTTTTCTTATTTGCATGAAAACCAAACTACTTCATAATTTCTCTACACAACATAAAGAGTGGCTGAACATGACTAAAATGAGTAGGTAAATCTTCAAAGCAAAGAGTCTGTCAACACTATGTAGAATGTTTTCATTTGGATTTTTTTCACATTTACAAATCACAATTCTTATTTCTCCACATATTGTATGACAAAAACATTGAGAACATTATATTATACAGAAGTTTTGAATTGTACAACTTAGGGTGATGGCTTATGATCTCCATATACTTTCCATTCTTTGTGTCCTTAAAGGACCTTAATATAGAGACCCTGTGGCATTTTAGAAGACTTGTACATCATTCAAGTAATAATGTTCTAAAAAACATTGAACTGAAATGGCAAGAGTAAAAATTCTATGATGCAATTACATGCATTTGTATTTTGACCATAAATATAGAGGATTTATCAAATTTGTCAATTTTAATTTCATAGCAAGGTTTCAAACTGTTTTGATGAGGTAGCTTTTTACTTATTTTGTGACCAATTTAGTTTTCAATAGAGATAATTTCTTGTGGCCCATATAACCTTGTTTCTGCTGTGAGCCTAGTTATGTTCATTGCTAGTTAATACTAAGTTCCAGTCCTTTGTAATCTGCATTCTCATGGTGCATAGCCACTTTTTTCAAGCCACAAACTATACTTGCCAAAACTTAAAATTCTAGATAACATCTGATTTGAAAGTCAAGGCTTTATAGAGTTCAGTTTTGTGGATTTGATAGTATTACAAAACAGCAATTTAAAACTTCAGGGCATCGGTCAGTTTTGAAATTTGAGATATGATTTGTTTTAGATCGGGCCAACAACTGGTTTCTGCTTCAGCAGAAATGGCATAAAGGCATAAAGACAGATATTGTGGATGGACTATACCTTCTGTAAACTCTTTAGACATTATTTAGTTATTAAAATCCATCTACAAGTTCTTGTGCTTGAAAAGGTCAAATAGAAATGGAAATAAAAATTCCTCTTGCCATTTACTTCCCATAGTGCAAAATTTATTGTTGGTAAGTAGAGGGCCCAAAATAATCTTTTATACCCTTCAGCACCATCCCACTGCCATCCTTTTTGTCTTTTTCTCTTTTGTGATATATACATATATTACTTATTTTAGTGGAAGAAGGCTCCTCTTTTATCCAACATCATAGTGCTTTTGTTTTCAACAAAGGGACATATTTGAAGAATAGAAAAAGATTTCTATTCTACTGCACCACTCCCCCTCTCCATCCTTTGCTTTTTCAGCACTCCCAGAGTTTACTGTACCATTAAAGTTTGGTAAGGGAGAGGGAATGGTATTTGATTAAATACAACTAAAGTTAAATGAAATTACTTTTCTCTAAATTGGAGAATCTACAAAGGATATGGTACTGCTGTGATCCACAGTGACATCTGTTCTTTTTATTCATGTAAATACGTGTGCCAACATAGTGACCTATATGTTACTGTATTCAGTACAGCTAAAAACTTATCTGTATTCAGTACAACTGCATATAGCCATGAACATGTTTTATTTTGGTTTACCTTGACACTGATTTATTGATAACAGACTGTTAAGGCAGAGTTTAGGTAAGCAGAGAAGACATTTCTGAAAATAACATGTAAAATTAAAGTTCATGGGAAACTATTTTTACACAAATGACTATTAATTTACTGTGTGTGGGTGAGAGACACTCTTTTCACTTCTTTTTCAATAAATAATTTTTTTTTGTTATGATGATTTTGTCGATCACAGATGCTGAAACACATGAATAGTACTACATCATAAATTCATGTGTCTAAAATAAATGGTTATGTTCCTTTTCTCCTTAAAAGTGGTAGAAATAAAAATGTCTTCCTTTCTTTTCCCTTGTCATTTTCATGAGTAAAAAGAGGATCAAAGTAGTCATGAAAGGGTGCCTAGACTATTTGGAATGTCGCACCATAGTGGAAGCAGCTTTAGTGGAGGGTGCGGGGTGCATTTGTCTCCTGTCATTTCTTTAATGCATAACATTAGCATTGAAGTACAATAAAAATACATGTAGGAAACCTAGAATAAGTCTTAGTATGCTGGCTTAAACACTTTGGACTCAATGTCAAAATCTTTCTCATAACTGAAAGATGCATATATATGCAAATAATAATTAAAAAATATATAATAATATTATACATTCCTAAAAGATAGATCAACACTAACAACTCCACAAGTGTTTTTTCTTATGTTCTACTATATCTTGCACTACATTTTATATACTGTATGTATATATATATACAGTGGGTACGGAAAGTATTCAGACCCCCAATATTTGGTAGAACTAAAATTCAGATTCAAATAATGTGAGAAATTAGGATCTATTAGGATCCTGGACCAAAGAGTGTTCTACTGGACTTATGAAAGAAACAATAAATGTGTTTTTGTTCTATGTACATTATGTAGTATTCTTTCCAAGGAATGTAAGGAAAATATAAGGAAATTGCAGGGACTTGCATCCCTAACACCCTCCTTCCATCACTTCCCCTTAGCTCAACCAAAACACATAATTCTATGAACAGCCACAACGGTCCACCACCATTCCTGGGATTTTGCCATGGATTATCTGCTGTTTATCATTGAAGTACAGCATGTTTATCGGCGACATCTTCGTGGGTGTGCAGCATGGCCCTGCCGAGCCTCTAGGATTGGCATGCTGAACCAGATGAGTATGTGGGGACTTCTGCATGAACATGTACTCACACTGGCCTGAACAGTAGTTTGCCTTGTAACGTTTGGGTGCAATGATCCAGTCCCAGCCAAAAGCTTCAAAGTCCACTGTGAGCGGGTAGCGACAACAGCGGGATTCTGTGGAGTGCTCATCACAGTCAAGACCCAGATTTCTCCGTGAGCGCTTGGTTGTTTCAAGAACCTTGACCTCCAGGAACGGCTGCTGGAAATTACAGGAGGAAGAAGACGTACAGAGATGGGTCAAGCACCCTCTATAACAGCAGTCTCAAATTCATCTGAAGTGACAAAGCTAACAAATTTAACCTTTGGTTTAGTACAATGATTATCGTTTCCACTATAGCAGTATTTTTGGTCTAACAGGTCTAAGGATCCTTACCAGTCCTTCCTCTCCAGGCCGCAGAGATGTCACAGCCAGGTCATTGCCACTCTCATCATAGGCATTTATATCAATGCCCCAGTTTGTGTGTGGCTGCTTGAACCAGTTCTGCAACACATGCTTGAAATCAATGCTCTGCCAATGACCCGCTTGCGAACTAAGCTCTATTTTGAGTGACCGGATACGGATGTGTCGGCTTCCTTGCTCAGTGATAGGTTTAAGGCGAAGGATCTGCAAGTAAACAGTGGAAGTTTGCTGTAGTGGCCGCAGATAAACCCACAGCTGGGCTTTCAGGACCTTGGTAAACATCAGTTTTGGACTGAACTTGAAGAAACAACAGCTGGGTTTCCCATCCACCTGCACCAGAGGTTCAGCTGAAGGAAACAAAATAAAATGCTATTATTCACTGAAATTGCATTTAAAATGGTCAAATAGTATGACAGTATGATGAAGCAAAACAATAGAAATCTAAAAGAAATATAGCTGTATGCAGCTTCAGGAAAACAATGTGTGGTGGACACATGCATTTAACCCGTTCTAGTCTTGAGATGCTGCCGACCAAAAATTTTTACATTTGACTGTACTGGAATGGTATGAAACTTGGTGCCAATGGTCGTACTTGCAATATGAACGTACAAAAAAATATGACTGGAAAGGAATAAATGGTCCTAAAAAATAGTCATACTTCTATTCTTAGTGAAGAAAGGAAAGGAATGAGAAATACAAAAAATAAAAAATGTAATAAAATACACAGCCTTTTAACTACATGCATATTAACTACTGTGACTGTAAAAAAATAGCATTTTTAAAAAATAAAAAACAATTCAGCCACAAAACTTCGTGTAAAAGACAGACAGAGAGAGAGAGAGAGAGAGAGAGACACAGAGAGAGAGAGACCACCCCAAATTTTTTCACTCAATCTGATTTTTTCCCACCACCATGTCCCTTTAGGGAGAGAGAGAGAGAGAGAGAGAGAGAGATCAAAGTCTCAGTTGGAGACTGCTTACCAGTTAGTTACCAGACTCTTTGATATTCTCTATATACATCCAAACATAATACCTAAATAAAAGTAAGTAATTACATCTGAAAACATGGTAATGCATGTTATACTGGCTACTGGTTATGCTATCAGTGACATAGCACTGAAAGAAATACATAATGCATTTAATGCATTGTGTCTTACACATAATGCAGAAAATGAAAACAGAATAAACATTTTTTTCTAATATATGAAATGTGTCTTACACAATGCATAAAATGAAAACAGAATAAAACGTTTTTTCTAATATGTGCATTATTTTACTTATAAATAAAGGGTGCATAATTAAGAGGTGAATATTGTTTAGTGCCATGATTTGATATGTAATGTGTCTTAGACATAATGCATAAAATGAAAACAGAATAAAACTTTTTTTTTCCTTCTAATATATGCATTATTTTACATATAAATAAAGGGTGAATAATTAAGAGGGGAATATAGTTTATTGCCGTGATTTCCGCTCAAAATACAAAATTACAAGAGGATTAGCCTATGTCAGTCACTTGAACGTGCACACTTCCTGCTGACAGCTGGTGGCGCTAAGATGTGAATGCATCTCAATTTAATATAAATCAAACAATGCACTTAATTTTCTTATTAATCCCTCAACATGGCAAATCTTTTCACAGTTTAGCATTTTCAGTGTCTTGGCAAGTAGACAAAGTTTGGTGTGATAAACCTGAAACCCTGTTATACACCCTGTAATAAACCCTGGAATAATGGGGGGAGGGGTAGACTCGCTCTTTTAAATGAGTCTACTCCTCAAGATTACTGTTATAAACATGAGCTGCGTCCAAACGGTGAAGGGGGAGGTGCTGCTACAATTTATAGTAATACTTTCAGTATTTCTCAGAGGTCTGGTTTCAAGTATAATTTGTTTGAAATGATGGTAATGGTATATGGTATACAAGTGTTAATGTGGCGTTTGTACTGGCTACTGTATACAGGCCACCAGGGAGCCATACAGACTTTATCAAATAATTTGAGGATTTTCTATCTTAGTTAGTGCTGGCTGCAGATAAAGTCTTAATTGTTGGTGATTTTAATATCCATACTGATAATGAAAAAGATGCATTAGGATCAGTGTTTATAGACATTCTGAACTCCACTGGGGTCAGTCAACATGTGTCAGGGCCTACTCATTGTTGTAATCACACTTTAGATTTAATACTGTCACATGGAATTGATTTTAATGGCATTGAAATTCTGCAGCAGAGTGATGATATCTTGGATATCATCTAGTCTTGTGTATACTCCATATAGCTAAAGCTGCAATTTCAACTCCTTGTTACAAACATGGTAGAACCATCACAAAAGACTGCTTTGTAAATAATCTCCCTGACGTGTCTCAATTCCTCAGCAAATCCAATAGCTCAGAAAAACTTGATGTTGTAACAGAAACTATGGGCTCTCTCTTTTCTAACACTTTAGATACAAAAGATTAAGGAAAAGATTCAGACACCATGGTATAACAAGCACACTCACACCTTAAAGAGAGCAGTCTGGAAAATGGAGCGCAGCTGGAAGAAAACAAAAGTAGGTATTTCATATTGCAGGGAAAGGAAAGTACTTCTACTTATAGAAAAGCTCTAAAAACTGTTAAATCTGCTTACTTTTCATCTCTTTTATAAGAAAACAAACACAACCCCAGGCATTTATTCAATACAGTGAAAATATTAACAAAAAATAAAGCATCAACAGACGCAGACATTTCCCAATAGCACAGCAGTAATGGCTTTATGAACTTCTTTACTTCCAGGATCAATACTATTACAGATAAAATTCTGACAATGCAGCCATCAGCTGCAGATTATCCACTATAGATCCCCTGAGGAACAATTCCATTCATTCTCTGCAATAGGAAAGTAAGAATTGTATAAACATGTCAAATCATCAAAACCTATAACATGTATGTTAGACCCTATTCTATCTAAGCTACTAAAAGAGGTGCTTCCAGAAGTCATAGATCCTCTTCTGAATATTATTAATTTGTCAATGTCATTAGGATATGTCCACAAAACCTTCAAATTGGCTGTTATTACGCCTCTCATTAAAAAAACACAACTTGATCCTAGAGAATTAGTTAATTACAAACCAATCTCAAATCTCCCTTTTCTGTCAAAAATAATAGAAACGGCAGTATCCTCTCAGCTATGTACCTTCTTAGAGATAAATGTTATCTGTGAGGAATTCCAGTCAGGATTTAGACCGTATCATAGTACCGAGACTGCTCTCATCAGAGTTACAAATGCCCTGCTCTTATCATTCGATTCTCTATTAGTGCTACTGGATCTTAACGCTGTGTTTGACACTATCGACCACAACATTCTTTTGAGTAGACTACAAAATTATGTTGGCATTGGTGGAATTGCATTTGCATGGTTCAAATCTTACTTATCGGACCATCATCAATTTGTAGCAGTGAATGAAGAGGTATCATATTGATTGCAAGTACAGCATGGAGTACCACAAGGCTCAGTACTTGGACTGCTGCTTTTCACAGTTTTCATGTTACCTTTGGGAAATATCATCAAGAAACATGGGGCCTCATTTATAAAATGAGTGTACGCACAGATTTGATCTTAGAGTGTGTGTACGCTAAAATCCACGGCAACGTTCATATTTATAAAAACGTCTTTGACGTGGAAAAGTACTTACCGCCACATCAGGGTCTGAGCAGGCGTATGCACTTTTCCTTGTGGCAAAGTCGGAGTACTGCAGCTATTTGAACATCTAAGCTGCAATAATAATAAAAGCGGTGTACGTGCAGGCACCGAATTCATCATAAACAACAAAGATGCAGTGTAAGAGATTAATTGTGCAGTGTAGTCAGATTTATTAATGGGAGTTTTTGCGAAGATTAAACTGACCTTTTTAGTAGCCTAATGTTGAGAGTTCTTTACTCGCTTTCTGTACACAGTTTATTCCATGTTTTTTTTTTTTTTTACCATTTTATTTCACAAGAGAACTTGCGAAGTCTTGATTTATTACTAATGCGTAAAATAGAAAAAAAAAATGCATAAACACATCTCCCACCGTTTTGTCTGTGTAGCCTGTAAGAATAGGCCTATGTCGTGCAATAACGGTTTTAATATAACCTATTATATTCAGTAACATTGTTAACTGTGTTTATTTATAACATCTGCTGCTTTGCTTCTGTGAAAATGAATAGAGACATCAGCCTTAAACTTTGTTTTTGTCATTTACATCAGTTATATTTGTATAAAATACACTATATATTTTTGTGTCAGTACATAATGGCACATTTGAACAGCATTAGTAAACTGTGTAAATATAAAAAATGCCAAATCACATGCAGGTTTTTTCAGACCGGAGACCATAATCGTGTAATAATTTATTTTATTATGATATGAAACGTCCCATTTTTCTTTCAATAATGTTTTTTAAAGTTTTGCAAGAATTTTGTGATACTAAACTTTTTATTAGTTGTCATAGCAAGTGATTTTAAAAGTAGGATTGCTCACTTTTTATAAGATGACAAAATTTTACTTGACTTCGTAGTTTATTCTTACTTTTGGAAACCTAATGGTTTTATAAATACTATTATTTCTAGAAATAGTAATTTTGATAATAGTCAATAGAAAAAATATAACACCACACATTGTTTGTCCGCAGAATATTTACACATTATAAAATAAAAAGCGTCGTCCCACGAACCTCTACCTCCGCCAGCAGGACCTCAATTTCAGACTCAGTTAAGTTTTTTTTTCTTTGTGCTCGTCATTCTCAAGCATAGAAATTCAGATATTGGCGTGTGCCCTTTTATATGGTAATGATATTAATTAGGGGGCGTGTACAAGCTGGAGATCTGACACCAGTCAGCTGCGCACAATTTCAACATCATTTGCGATTTATAAATGCCACATCTGGAAGAGAGGCGTACGCACGTGTTTTTGTGCGCACATTCGTTTTCTCCGAATCGCACTTACGCACTTTTGAGAAATGATCTCAGAACAAATTTAGGACGGTTTATATGCAACATTTTATAAATGAGGCCCATGGTGTTAGGTTTTCACTATTATGCTGATGATACTCAGCTCTATATTTCTTCGCGGCCCGATGAAACATACCAATTTGCAAAACTAATGGAATGCACAGTTGATATAAAAAGCTGGATAACTAGTAATTTCCTACAGCTAAATTCTGAAAAAAACTGAGGTTTTAATTATTGGACCAAAATCCTCCACATTTAATAACCCAAAACACTGTCTAACACTTGATGGCTGCTCTGTCAATTCTTCATTATCAGTTAGGAACCTAGGTGTGCTATTTGATAGCAATCTTTCCTTTAAAAGTCACATTTCTAGCAATTGT